TGCAAATTGACGTTCTGAGCTACTGGCAGGTGGTTCAGCTGGTACCCCCTCGCGTGCTGTGGCTGTGGCTGCTGCTGCTGGGGTTGTTTGGTCGCCGCCTGAAGCCCGAAGTGCAGCGGTTCCCCCTCGCAGCTGGAGGAGCGCTCGATCAGCTGTTCTCCCGAAGGCGCTGACGGTGCGGGGGGCGGCCTCGCTGGGCTCTCCATCCTCTCTCCTTCTCGCTCCTTCTCTCGCGCACTTCTCACCCTCTACGCCAATTAACACCAACCTTTAGGCGTCCCGAACCTCTAGATATTTGTCCACTTCAGCATTTTTTTATGGAATTACATGTGAGCGCGACGTCACTGCTGCTGGAAGAGGGCAAGTTTAATAGCCACTAGTTTCACCGTGGACTGAAATACATGACGTGACAGCTACCCACTCATTATTAATTCCGAGCTCATCTCCGCGGATTTTTCTTGGAAAAATGAACTGCCTTATTTTTAACATCTCAGCTGGGGTAGATTAACTGATTTCTACGACAGTGCCATTTCACTTTAAAACAAGGAAAATAGAGTGGCGATGCAAACGGTGAAAGTAACACAAATGACAACTCTCGGGGAAGTGCGACTAACCATCCAATAGTAACAAGCCAAAAGTTAAATAAATAATACTTCAAATATTCCACATCGTATTGATTTAGAAATGTATTATTTTTTTCCTTGTGACTCATAAATTACGAAGTCTTTCAGCGGCTTTATATACCTGTTATGTGCAAGATTAAGCATCTATCATATTGTCAGAAGGGTAGTCGACTACAATATTGATTTCCTGTGTTAAAAAAAATATGGCAAAAAAAAAACAACATAAATATACAAAAAGACGGCAGTGTTTTTCATTACCCGTGGGTATTTTCACTAACTCAGCATATGGCACGCATTTAATTATCCCATCGTCATGTAATATATTAGAAGATGAAAAATATCCCAAGAAAAATAAACCCGACCCCAAAATCAGTCGGGTAAAGCGGCAGGAGGAGGAGAAGCGTCGTCTGAGGTAGGGAATCGAAACGCACATAACGCAGAAGCCTTTTATTCAATTTAGGTTATTCATGTAATGGTGCCCAGTCGTAGATACATTTGCGTACGGAAACCATCTGCCATGTCCTGCGCGCAAGGTAATAAAAAGAGCGAAGCCAAAAAGGATTCCCCAAATCAGCTGATTGATCCGAGAAATAGTATTGGAACCCAGCTGGTGTTTGGCTTCGAAGGTTCTTTAAATCCGGCTTACAATCTTGTGACTGGGAATCGGATACGAATTACTATTATTGGCTTTAATCTTCATCGTACCAACAATCTGATGGCGTAATTATGTAATATAGAACTATACACCCACAGTTTTTGTTGTTCTCCAAGATAACGACTGGAATGTAAATAAGGTGGTGTAAGTGGCGCCGTAACACAAGGCGTCTGTAACGAGGGTGTCCTGACGCAGCAGCAGCCTTGTTTACCTGCGACGTAGTTCAACAAAGAGGGGATCTTACGCCATGGAGACTAAAAAATAACCCCCCAAAATGTTACGTTTGGGACTAGAGACTATATCTAAAATGCCCTGGTACTTCCCTTGGTCGGATGCCATCAAGAAAAGGGCAATAAGATACCTGTTACAGAGATACGTAGGGCAGTTCCTGGAAGAAAAGCTGTCTCTGGATCAGCTGACGGTGGACTTGTACAATGGAACGGGAGCCATAAAGGAGTTGACGCTGGATGTGGCTGCCCTGAATGAAGTCGCTGAGCAGTTAAATCTTCCCGTGAAGTTTGTGGACGGTTATATTGGTGAAATATGTGTGTCTGTTCCATGGCATGCCCTCCTGTCGGAAAGTTGCTTTGTGGAAGTGTCTGGGCTCATGGTGACCATCGAGCCCAAACAAAGGTCGGAGGACGTATCTATGGTAGATTCCATGATCGAGTCTATGAGCATGACAACATCCATGCAAATTGCTCAGGAGTGCCTTAATCATCATGAAGAAGAGAGTGAAATGGAGGACCCAGTAGGAAAAGATTCTAGTCAGATGATTGAGGGCATTGAACATTTTGCACAGGCAATAGATACTGTACTTAACCGAATTAAGGTCCGCTTCCTCGACATAATCATCAGACTAGAACATACGCCAAAAGGTAGTCAGTCAGGAGTATCATTAGAAGTTCGGATCAAGAAAGTGGACTATTTTGATGAGGCAGGGCTTGGTAAAGGCACTCCTACTTCAGAATCATGTAGAGCAGGATATGAGCAGCCTGCATTTGCATCAAAGAAATTTCATATTGAAGGACTTACCATGTACACTGATGAATTTCCAGCTAAGAGTAAAACAATGACAAAGTCAGGAATTGTAGTATCATCAGATTCAAATTCATCACCAGAATCTGGTGGTTCCAAGGTGTCAGGAGACTCTTATAAGACAGCTGACACATCTCCAACAGAAGGTAAGGAATTTGAGTACAATCATGAGAATCATGAGAAAACTGTAAAGAAGCTCATTACCAATGCAAGCATTCCAATGGAGCCTATTCTCTTTGCTAAACTAACTGGCTCCCAGGAAATTAGCTTAAAACTTAAACAGGCAGATGTAATGGGCCCAAAAGTAGATCTGCGAATGAACTGTGGATCTCTTATAATGTTCCTCTCGCCTAGGCAAATTCACTTACTAATGGAGTTATCAGAAGGCATAGCATCTCCAGATAAGCTTGACCTTGATACACAAACTCCAGGTATGTTGCATACCAAGCAGAAACCAATGGATCCACATGATTTCCGTAAAGTAGAGAGTGAGCTTCGGAAAGAACTTCGTTCAAATACTGTTGCAAGTCAGGCTCTTAATCTTCATCAGGGTTGGTCTGTGACACCATTAGAAGACAGTGATGATGAATTTGTACCCATGAGTAGTGGTCCAGGAATTATGAGAAATATGTCTAGTAGTCAGCTCTCAGGCTGCTCTGATATGGAAAGTTCTTTTGGCTCAAATATGTCAGGCAGCACTGTGAAGTCTGCAACTGCTGGAGCCTCAACAACACCCACCCTCCGCTACACAGGCGTGGGTGTCATGATGGGTGATCATGCAATAGGGGGGTCTACTAAAAAGAAAAGTGAACATGGTAGTAAACTCATGGATGATCCCTCTGCGGTAGTGACTCATTTCCGAGTCCAGGTTAGTAGCTTGGCAGCTGTTGTGCTTCATGAGGATATCTTGACACCATCACTAGACAACTCAAACATGGTATCAAAAGCCTCGGTTGCAGAAATGCAGGCAAAGTCAGAAGACTTTTTTTCTGTACTTGGTGTGCATGGATTATCAGGTTATAGCTATGGTGCATTCCATGAGGCCAAGCAAAAATTTGCTGATGCTTGTCAGATTAATCATTTAAGATTTATGGCAGCTCCTTTAACAATAGAAGGTAGTGAGAAGAGCCTTGCAAATAGATGGGAAATGAGTGTGAATATGTCACTTGGTTGTGCTGAAATTCTTGAGTGCCTTGTGGATTCATCAGTATCTCCTGCAAAGATAGAATATTCTGAACTGCTTACTTTCAAGGAAACTTTAAAAGAACCAACCACTGAGGCTATTTATGGAGGCACTGTGGAACCAAAGCTTAGAGTGCAGATCTCACAGTCCCAAAATATGACTGCCATGGGAAGAACTAGGAGGATGAGCACACCTAAATTAGATATCAAAGTTAATTTGGGTGATTGCGTATCTGAGATTGATATGTCTATAGTAGATCGCATATCTGCTCTAATCAATAGACAACAGGTTTGCACAAAGGCAACAGAAGAAGTGTTCTCCCCAGAACTACCCCCAAGTTATATAAATAATCAAGCTTGTTTCAAACAGACTTTGGATGATGCAACTCTTCACCCAGAGACACGTGTCCATGTCAAAGTATCTTCATCATCTCTAACAGTAAAGCTTAGATTTCCAATACCTGATTTACGGCCCACTTCCAATATGGATAGGGTTCCTTGGTGGAAAAGAAATGTCAGAAAAGATATACTGTCTTTAGTATTGCAGGACTTTGAATTTGTTACTACCATAGATCCACACATGCCCTATAGTTCCTATGAAGTACGTAGTGGTGACATCCATGTGCTTTTCCAAGAAAGAGAAGAAGATACACCAATATCCTTGGTGAGGGCAAGCTCAAGCAGAGGTTCAGAAAGAGGATTTGATCTCCCACGAGTTGTCATAATGGCGCATCCAATGCAGCCATGGACATCACTGGAAGAAGAAGCTCCAAGACAAGAAAATATCATGGCAAAATCTATGATGGGATTTTTAGAGGAAGTTAGTGAGACAGAACCCAGTCCTTTCAGTCGAAGGAAAGTTGCCTCCCAGCAGCCTGGTGATGGCCAAGCAGAAGAGCTTACCATCCCTGCAGAAAAGGAGGAAGTTTTAGAGTTTATGGAGAATACTTTAAAGAATGTGCAGCTGCACATAGATATTCATTTGCCAGATGTCCAATTAATTTTGCCTTCTAAGCATATCTATGAAGTTGTGTATAACAGATTAGTGACTGACTTATTGCTTTGGGAGCCATCTGCTCCTAAGCCAGTAAGCCACACCACCCGTAATATAGGTGCTGCTCAAGGAGGTTTAGATTTGGCCTCAGTGTTTATGAATGAGAGTATATATCAAAGTACAACTCAGTTTACCATGTGCACTTCGTCCAATAATGATGGTAGTGATAGTGAAGAGGAAGGGGAATCACAGTTTTATTCAGTGTATGAACACAAAGCAAGACAGCGACTGAAGCAGCAACAACAACAGGAACAAAATAAAAACAAGAAGCAAACTCTTGTTGCATTTAAACTCACAATGGGCCATGCAGTTGCTAGTCTGAGAACTCCATATAGGGATGCAAAGAACTGTGTGCTTCCAGGGCAGCATGGGGAAGTAATGCTTATCCTAGACCAAGGAACAATATTTGCAGCTGTAGGTTACCAGGGAAACCCAGACCTTGGTTACACTTGTATTTGGTCAGAAAAGGCTTACATATATCACAAGGCTGCAAACATCACTCCGGATCGACCAGTTTTCCTTGATCCAGAAAATCCCCTCTCCACCTCCCGCCTGGATGCCATAGTATACCCAAATGATCCAGGTGTTATAACTAAACTAGGGGCTGGAGTGATAAAGAATGAGGATTACCAAGACCAAGTCAGTATAGCTTTGCAAATGGATTTTGACTTGACTCGAAACTTGAAAACCATCATCTTTTCTGGATGCGTCCGTGGGACCACTCTCCGCCACTACATGTGCACCAGCCCTGAGAGTTGGGTTACCCAGATGATGGATATGTTTGATGTCCAGGATTATCCTGTTGCTGGCTATGTGCTTCCTGATGTTGTCACTGAGATGAATTTCCATTTGTGGGGTTGTGCTCTGGATTATCGTCCTCTTCACTTGCCTTTGCGAACAGTTTTGACAGTTGATGCTTGCTCAATATCAAGCAATTTAACTATATCTAGTGACACAAATGTTCTTCATTTCATCATTGAAGATGCTGCCCTTTTCCTCTCTGATAAACTTTCTTTAAGAAGCATTGACCTAAGAAAGGACTATATTTGTGTAGCAGATTTAGGAGTCTTTGAACTCTGTTTACGGATGGTAGAAGACTTAAAGGAAAAGAAACCCAAAATTGACTTGGTTGCTTCCAATAATGTGATTCATATACGCACATGTGCAGATTCTTGCAAGTCCTTGTTAGAGCTTCTGATTTACTTAGCTAGTGATGGAGATTTGACACAAGAGGCATCGGTAACAACAGATACAACAATTATTCCCCCAGTTACAAGCCCAGTAAGTGTTGCATCATCACCATCAAGTGAATGTGCCACAATGAGACCATCAGAGATGCAAGAGACCATTTTCAACCCACGGCACAAGGAAAATGATTCTCACCAACTTGAAATGGTGCGAGGGATGATGGATGATGCAATGATTGAGTCAACTCCTTCTACATCATCATGTGAGGATGATGAAAATGATCCTAATCTTTACTTAAAGAAGGGTGTAGAGATGTTCTTCTTCCCAGATGACAATCTAAAACGGCTTGCAGCTGCTTCACAAGCCTCTCAGAAGGATGCACACAAGACCGAGGAAGTGATGCCAGTTGAAGGTGAACTCACAGACACAGAGTCTGCACTTAAAGAAGCTCTCAAAGAACCTTCAGATAATCCATTTGAAGAGTACAGTTCTGGGACAGATGAGGAATTCTGCATTCTTGATGATGCACCTGGCACAGGCATCAAGTCTCCATCTGGAGAGCCACAAGTGAGGCTCTTGACTCAAGATCCCATTATTATTATGGATAACCACTTTTCTATTCCTCTGGGCAAAGTTGATCAACTAAAGGCACCAAAACATTTCCCTTCTGCAATAATGAAGTATACTCTTAAGGAATTGAGTGTTGTGTGGCACATTTATGGTGGTTCAGATTTCAAGGCTGTTTCTCATGATGCTACAGCCAAAACAAGAAGAGTTACAATTAATGACTCAAATGGCAATCCAGAAAGTGGTAGTGGGGCATATTCATCAAATGTTCCATCACCAAAGTTAAGCTATGTCTCAGTAGAGCCCTCAGTGACAATGCGGGCTGGAGAAGTGCAATTTTCATCAGGTCATACCTCACCAAATATGTTCAAGAAATCTCCACCTCAAAGTCCACAACAGCGAAGTCATATGGTATGGCAGGCAGCAGGAGGGCCTGGCAGAAAACATGATACACTCCTAGAATTACAACTCAGCAAGGTTCGGTTCCAACATGAGATCTATCCTGAGAGTGCACAGCAGGCAACAAGAAATGTGCTTCTGATCCATGATGTGGAAATCAGGGATCGTCTTGTGTCCTCTAAAATCAATAAGTTCCTTTATCAGTTTTCATCTGAAACGTGTCCACGACAAGCTCATGCAAATATGGTACAGGTGAAAGCTCTCACTACCAGACCTGATGGTCAGCATGGTCCTCAAGAAACCAGTCTCAAGATATCACTACAGCCTATAAGACTACATATTGATCAAGATGCTCTACTTTTCCTGTTCCAATTCTTTGAAGAGCTTCTAGCCTCAGATATGGATGGAGAAATTGGAGAAGAAGAGAGACCACAGTCCACAACTCAAGTCCAGGCACCCATTATGACTGTTAACCTTAACCAAGCTGCTCAACTTAATTTGGCTGAAGATCAGCAACTCCTTGTGAATTTAGAAGAAAAGTCTCCAGTGTCAGAAGCAGAAGAAGAGTACAGTAGAATGGAAGAGAATGCTCCTCCATATTTCAAATCATTTATTTTCTCACCAGATGTGCCAATCAAAATAGACTACCATGGAAAACATGTTGATATTAATTCACAGTATGGCCCAGTTGCAGGTCTCCTCATAGGACTTGGGCAACTTAACCAGTCAGAGATTACATTGAAGAGCATTGTTCATAAATCTGGTCTTTTAGGTATGGACAAATTGATACATTACATCAGCAGCGAATGGATGAATGATATAAGACGTAACCAGCTGCCATCAGTCCTGGGAGGCGTTGGCCCCATGCACTCTGTAAGCAAGTTGGTAGGAGGTGTCAGGGACTTGTTCCTATTGCCAATTGAACAATATCAGAAAGATGGACGGGTGATGCGCGGGCTCCAAAGAGGAACTTCTGCATTCACAACTTCATCAGCTCATGCTGCTCTTGATTTAACTGGAAGGTTTGTTGGATGCATTCAGTCAGCAGCAGAGACAATGTATGACATGGTTTCATCTGGACCAAGTGTGCGTCACAGATACAGAATCCGAGGTGGACAACCGCAAGACATTCGTGAAGGGGTCACGACAGCATATAGCTTGGTTCGTGAGGGCATTGGCGATACTGCCACAGCAATAGTACAAGCAGCTTCACAGGAACATCAACACAAGGGTGTGTCTGGTGCAATTGGAGGAGTTTTGAGGCAGATCCCTCCCTCCATGGTGCAGCCTATCATCTTAGCATCTGAGGCAGCTGGCACAGTATTGGGTGGGATGAAGAATCAACTTGTACCTGATGCTCGCAAAGAAGCTGCTGATAAGTGGAAAGCATAAGGAACAGTGACAAATTGTTAAAGGCAGTCAACAAGTTGCAAATTGTAAAGAGAGATACACTACTACTTGTAAATCCTTTAGCATTTCTTGTCATTGTTGCCAGTGTAACAGGGTTGATTGTTTCATTACTACTGTGATCATTATATTAGATCTGTAAGTGCAGACAGATGTGTTAAATCTGGAAAAATGGTGTGTGTGTGTGTGTGTGTGTGACTCCTAATCCTTCTGAGGTGCATTCCAAAATGGAGGATTGTGAAGATTGTGCCTCACTTTGTTTTAGTCAAATAAATTTTGGTTGGATGATGTTACTTGTGATACTGTGGATAGGATCCAAGAAGTGAACTCTGCAGAATAATTTTAAGATAAAAAAAATCATGTTATTTTTTCCTCACTGACAAGCACATGGATTATTGTTGATTTGTATAGTCCTGCCTTTATTCCAAAATAAAAAAATGCACAGCTTACAGTATGTCAGAGTCTGGAAAGGAAATATACAAAATCTTGATATTTTTCTTTTGCTGCAATCTGTTAAAATAAACCTAAAACATTGGTATATAATGTTAGGAAACCAAAGAAGTATATATATTTTTTGTAGTATTGTAAGGTGCTAAAACTGCTCTCTGTAACCTAAAACCTGTTGCTTAAAATGTGAATAGGAATCTAAAAAAAAAATGCTTTGATAGAAACACCTAGTGTGATGGTATTATGATGTTAAATAAATCACCAGTTAGTTCAAACAGAGATTTTTTGTATGTTTTAAACTGAAGAAGACAGAAGAGCTGAAGCAACAGAAGCTGAAAGTATGACAAGTAAGTACATTTATGTAAACCGTGGTAACTTATACTAGACAGGTACATATTTAAGAAAATCATCCTTTTCTCAGAGTCATTGCAGGAGAGAAATTGATACAATTACAGTAAAAGTAACAATCATAATTAAAGAAATTTTGAAATGTTAATGTAATTTCTATTACTTTTATTCTAAGCATGATTACGGTCCTAGTTTTCAGTTTTGCTTGGTGCTAAATCCCTATTTTTCCCCCAGGTGCTAGAGCAAGATGTCCCTCCACTTGATGAGCACTGCCTCTCTCAGAACTCTATGTCGAGGATGCCGCTGCAGGATCAAGGAGCCCCGGTTCTCTTTTTACATGCCAACAGCTCAGAGGTATAGATTGTCATTATTTTATTTTATGCTTTCATTTTTATACGGTGATATAAATTTTCTCTCTTATAATTTGTAGTGTTCAATTTACCTGGCCAGTATCTTATATTTATTTCATTTTCAGTCTCCACACATCACCCTTTGTAACACAGCAGGAGGGTAATGTTATGAATGTGTTTGATCGTCAAGCAAAACTTTTGCAAAGAGAAAGAGCTGCAAGGAATCCCGATGTTGCAGTTTTTGATTACTTGAAAGAGGAAGTAAGTATTCAAAAATGTTTGATCAGAAATTATGTATGACAATAATCTAGGAAATCCTCTTCATCAGAAGCACACAACAAGTTGCAACTTGGTTATGAACCTGGAATTTGAGGGATTGTACCACAGAGAAATGATCGATGATGTCTAATTAATTTCTAGTCGGTCTTTTTACCTTGAGAGATAGAACACGTATAGCATCTTATGTCTCCTAGATTGCGGCTCCAGTTTCTTGCATTAAATTTCTGATAATTATGATTAATAAAGCAAGAACATTACCATTCTACTCATTTTATGCTGTATTGTGAAAGTTCAGAGATTTTCACATCTCAACATAATGCAATAAAATCTAGAATGTACTATATAATCGATTTAGATGTACACTGTTATGTTGATCTTTGTAGCATTTCAATGATTACAAGAAAGATAAGCTTTAACAGGAAACCTAAAGTGAGTTGTTGGTATCTCCATCTTATTCTATCATATATTTCAGATCTCAAATTATTACCCATGGTCATCATATGCAGTGAAACTGATGTCTTTATTATTTCCAGATTGGTTATCGTTTAGCTGACCGCATCAATGATATAAAACGGGAGTTCAAGACTGGTCTAGATCTTGGAACAGGTCGAGGATATGTTGCCAAGAATATAACAGATGTGAGTATTAGATAAATTTGTTATTTGTATCTTCGAGACATTCTCATTCAGTTTTCTTTACATTTTGGGACTTTTGGGATTCAGAGATAATCAGCACATTCTTCCTTTCTCTTAGGCTTCATTAGAAGAGTTGTACATGAGTGATTTGTCTCCGTCAATGTTGGAATCAGCAGAAACTCCTCAGGATGTGAAGTTTACGAAGATGGTGATTGATGAAGAAGGAAAACTTCCGTTTGAAAATAAAGCACTTGACCTCGTTATATCAAATTTGAAGTAAGTTTTAATGCTGAAATGTTGTAGACTGTTAAGCTTTTATATTTGCTTTTTAAGCTTCTTTTTTTTTCTTTCTTTTTCTTTTTCTTTTTCTTCTATGACTGATAAACACCCACAGAACTCATGTTTCCCATAATATTTGTCCTTTGTATTGTTGTAGCATACAGTCTCATTGACAGCATTTCATTGTCAGTGAATATTGATAAATGCATGCAAGAGGAGAAGTCTATCTCCTACATTTATTGTTCAATGACACCAGACTGGGGAGTGTTTGTGTTTGAAAATAATTTAGTGGGTTGCATTACATGAATATTTATTTTAAGATCAATATTGATTTAGGATTAGCAAGTAAATATGAAATTTCAAAAATTATTAAAAATGTTAATGCCAAGTAGTACAACATATACTGCTGTGAATAGTACTGTATTATCCCAATTATCATCATTATCATTATGAATGTCATTTTTATTGTTGTTATTATCATCATTATTAATATTGGTACTGTTGTTTTATTATTAATGTTTATACTATTAAAGATTGTACAGTATTCCACTCTCATTATAATGATTGGTTATACCTTAACAGTTCCCCATCCAGACTAATATGAAGTAGTATAATTTTTGTGGGGGTGGGGGGGGTGTACACATGAATGCATGCTTACATATGTTTTTTAGAACTAGAATATTTAATTATGCAAGAATTGATACATTATTTTGAGCTAACAGTTTAAATCATCGTTTCAGTCTTCATTGGGTGAACAATCTACCGGGTTGCCTCAAGGAAATCTATAGAGTGTTGGGAGAAGATGGTGTGTTCCTGGCATCGGTATTTGGGGGAGACACTCTTTATGAACTTCGCTCATCTTTGGTGCTGGCTGAACTAGAGAGAGAAGGTGTAAGTTACTCTTTGAGATTTTATATATAGATTTTTCTTTTGCTGTAATTTTCAAGATTTTTCTAGAGACATTTGTTTTATTCAGTAAAGCCTTCCATTTGGCAAGTAATTGGCACTGAAAAAAGCTTGTGAAGCTTGTTAATTACAGAAAATGCTAATTTCTTTGTGTATTATTCTCAGATAACATGTGAGGTTAAGGGTAGTAAATAAAGAGATTGTTTTGACTATAATTCTTTGTTTGGTAATAATGAGAGGAAGATTATTACCAACCATAGCATCATCATCAAACGTTAGCTGACTCCTTCCCTTACCCATGATCATTTATGAATGATCACTTGTCATTATACATGGCACTTTATTTTCTGTTAGATCATGTACAGTGTCTAGCAAGGGCTGGGGAAGGAGACTACAGTTAATTCAATTTTGGTGATAATATGGTCCCCAAATGTGATTTTTGGCAAAGGTGATTCATGGTTGCAGTTGGTAAAGGTCGTGAAATGTAAATTTGTCAAATGTTAGGCTTTATTGTAGTTATTTGAAATTTTACATGCTTATAGGAATTTCTTTTGCAGCTATTCTCAAGATTTTATGGCCACAAATTTTTCTTTCATTTTCCCTTCCTTCCTTTTCTTTTTCTTTCATTTTCCCTTCCTTCTTTTTCATTTTCATTCCCCTTTTCTTCTCTTTCTTCATCTTCTTTGAATTCTGGAGAGGAAATGGAGCAGTTGAATTGGCAGGGAAATGGGGAATTGTATGTGAAAAGGGCATTTGATTGGTGGATGAATGAATAAAAATTTCACGCATGCTGATAATTGTGTGAGAGAAGTCTGCTTGTATATAAAGTGAAGCAGCTGACTTTGCAGGGAAATAGATGAGTGTTTGGATGAGCCATTTGATAGATGGATTTATTAATAAAAAGATGATGAGATTTCATGGTCATTCATATATGTGTGAGAATAGTCAGCATGCTTATATATATACTGGTACATTTTCAAGGTTAAGCCATCAAAGATGGGAATTGATTTGCTAGCTTGGTCCCAAGGCAGGCAGTACTGTGTCAGTGTGATATGGAATATATATGAAAAATAGTATAGAATTGATGATTCAGTGTTTATTATAGAATATAACTTTTAACAAATATATAGTTCAGTAGTAGACCATGTTATATTTCTCTCTCATAAATTAAACCCTTGGATCCGGATACTTTGCACATGGCACAAGGTGTGTGTGGCTTTTAGGCTGAGCACATATGAATACTCTTGTGGTGTCAAGACTGTGGCTCTCCTTTGCAATATTATTAGTTATTTTTCTGCAGAAGTGTTATTTGCCATTTTCCAATGTTTAATTTTGAGTTTGTATCCAGATGGTATTAGACTTGTGCACAAATAATATTAATAACATTTTGTTATATGTGTGTCTGTGTCTGTCTCTGTCTCTGTCTGTCTGTCTGTCTGTCTGTCTGTCTGTCTGTCTGTCTGTCTGTCTGTCTGTCTCTCTCTCTCTCTCTCTCTCTCTCTCTCTCTCTCTCTCTCTCTCTCTCTCTCTCTCTCTCTCTCTCTCTCTCTCTGTCTGTGTCTCTGTCTCTGTCTCTGTCTCTGTCTCTGTCTGTCTCTGTCTGTCTCTGTCTGTCTCTGTCTGTCTCTGTCTGTCTCTCTCTCTCTCTCTCTCTCTCTCTCTCTCTCTCTCTCTCTCTCTCTCTCTCTCTCTCTCTCTCTCTCTCTCTCTCTCTCTCTCTCTCTCTCTCTATGCAACCTATGCTGCCAGTCACAGCAGGTAGGGATAGGATTCTGAGCATAGAAATACTGTCTTCCCTGGAGCCAGCACTCTACCAGTCCTGGCTCATGGATGGTACATTCCATACTAGTTCACTAATAGGAATCATGCAAGAGCCCCTTTCTAAATGCCAACTAACTCTAATCATCCTCCAGGAGCTTTATGCACTTGTGGCAAGTTATTCCAGTCATCTGGCCCTTAGCCAAAATTCTTATGACAGCATGTTCCTGTCACCCAGCTATCAGCCAGATTTTTCCATGACAGCTGTCCCTCAGGACAATTTTTTTCCATGAAGTGATGCGTATTTCTCTCTTTAGTAACTACATAGTTAGTCTTTCGTGAGGTAATGTTTTTTTTACCCATTGCCGCCGTAGATGGCATGCTTAGTCACCATAGAGTCAATTATTACTAGTCAACCTATCTCACCTGTTTACTATTCTCCTTGAGTTTTGGAATTATTTTCTTTTAACTAACATTATTAGTAAAATATGAGGTATACTAATTGAATCCTTGGTGGCTAAGCACTTGTGGAGCCATCTATATGTAAAGATATTTCAAAAACAGAACTACAGTTAACATTACATTTTCCCACTGGTATCCTTGGTGATTTAGCACTTGTAGAGCCATCTTTGTGTAAAGACAATAGATAAACTTTTATTACAATGAGCATGGCATTGTAGTCTTGCCACCCACTGACACTGAGTTAAAGGTAACTACAGAATAATGCCATTTGTCATAAAAGATGGCAACAGAAGGAAAACAATAGTGTAGGCTTGAAGGTGTAAACTCTCTTCTCTCTTACAGGGCTTTTCTGCACACGTCTCACCCTTTGCAGAGATAAGGGATATCGGCAGCCTCCTCAGCCAGAGTGGGTTTACCATGCTCACAATCGTAAGTGAATCATATCTATCAGTTGTAATTATTTATATATATATATATATTAATTTTTCAGTAACATTTTCATATTTTTGGTATCAGTGAAAATGTTTAAAATGGGAACAAAATATAGGGTATGGGTGTAGCATGATGTATGTTTTGCTGTACTGCTGTTCATTCACACTTAGGGTAAAAAAAAGGAGTGCTTAGGTTGAATAATATCAATGTACATTTAGGTTTTGAATACATAGCATATCTTGCTACATAAGAGTTTATAACATTTATATGAATTTTTTTTTTTAAGGACACAGATGAGATTTCTGTTGGTTTTCCATCCATGTTTGAACTGATGTGGGACCTTCAAGGAATGGCAGAAAATAATGCTGGTATCAATCGCAAACCCCATCTCCACAGGGACACACTGCTTGCTGCTAGTGCCATTTATCAAGGTATTTTTTTATTTTTTAAGTTTTATTCTTTATTCTTTAGACTTCAGTTATTCCACTTATTGAAAGAAAGAAAAGTGAACAGTGACTAGGAAATGAGCGATAATAAAGCGGTCGGGTTGGGTTATGTTTTCATTTCCAGGAGTTTTTATTCCCAATTGTTTTTTTCTAGAAATGTATGGGAATGAAAATGGGATTCCAGCAACATTCCAGATTATCTATATGATAGGATGGAAGCCAGATCCAAAACAGGTATGGTGGACTTCAAAATAGACTGTTTTCATTCACCACAAAAGGTCATGTTGTAGATTTGAACTTGTTGAAATATTAAAATGATGTAATTAAGTGCTTGGATGATAATTTTCTGTGATATAGGAGTGTAGTTCTTTACTTTTGTAATATAGAATGACTTTAATGCTTTCATTCAGTTTTGTAATATAGACCAAATAAAAAAAAAAAAAAAAAGCTGAAAACTCATTATACCTTTTCATGTCTTTTTTGAACTCCCACCACAGATGGGCACCCAAGCTGAGAGAGGCAGTGGTCAAGTTTCTCTCAAGGACTTGCACAAGTTGGATGACATGATCCGAGATGCAGGAATGGAGGGCAGAATTAAGTTCATGCAAGACATGACTTCAGACGACAAAGACAAGAAAGATTAGAATGTGAAGTCTAAAAAAGTAAATACTAATGCTGATGGAAGAATTGCTCTTGATGTAGTGAAAAGAAAAAAAAAGTGAGAGGCATTATTTTCTGAAGTTTAAAGAGTATAGATTCTGTTTTTGCACTACATTGTTTGACACATATTTAGATAACCTGTGATGAGCAAAGGTTTGCAAGTAAAGAGAGTTGAGCATTATATCAACTTGCATATATATATCATGTGGTTAGCACATCCTCACTGAATAAACCAGCCCTTTTACATTTGCACATAAAGGCAGTTTAAGGCTACAGTTTCATTTAGAACTCATTATCCATTTGAAAAACAAATCTTTCTAACCAGACTTCTGGATAGCTGTGTTGTCCCCATTTTCCTACACTCATTTAATTGAGCAATACTCTGGGTGTGGAGAATGTCCACAATGCTTTAAATATAGTCCTGTTTTGTGTAGTGAGTAGATTTTATATGAAGAGTTGCTGCAAAATGTGCAATGGTTGTACAAGGAAAATGTGTATATATTTCAAACTTTAATTTCTTCCCTATAAAGGTGAACTTTCATAGAAACATTTATTTGGTCATGCTAAAATCTTTAAAGTTTTTAGAATTAGTAAAACATATAACCCCAGAATATACAAGGTATTACAGTTGCACAAGATAAGAAATTATTACAGAATTATTATATCATAGTGCCTCCTGATTCATTAGATCTATTATCTTAATTTATTGAAAATAATTACCTAGCATTGACAGAGTGTCTTGATCACTAGTTCTTAGAGGCACATCATGTCAAGCTTGCATCTTCCATGTATGTAGCTTTTGGTAATTGTATATTTTTGTTGTATACAGCAATTTTCTATGGAAATAAAAAGAATATTGTATGAGAAAATGTTTCTTTGCAAATGACCTAAGTTAATCACCAAATTATGTTTCCATGCTGTGTATACAATCATGAAAATGATAATTTCAGACACAAAGTATGTTCCCATTATTTGTTATAACTCCAGATTGACAAACATAAAAACTACTCTACAAAAACCTTTTATCCCAAAAGAATATATTACAAGTCAGTTTTAACCAGTAGCTGGGAGAAACGTAGTCAAAAAGAAATGTACACCGACCTTGATTTGAAATTTGATCTTATACTGGTTTCTCTGTGGAGTTAATCATTATTAATCCTTTAACAATACATTAAAAGCCACAATTACCATCCACCGCAGCATAAATTAATACTAACCTGTTTAATTAAAATACCCTGAATTAAAGAGTAGGCAATTCTTCATTTACATATGTAGCATGAATGTATATTAAGTTTCTATCATTATCCTCTGGCCATCTTATCAGGTACAGTATATAATTGATGCCAAGCAAACAGTTCAGTATCAGCAGGAAGAGCTGTCACTACAAATATCTTGCTATGAATTATTTTTTTTTTTACAATTTTTTAATGGATAGTTGTTTTACTTTAGGAAGTGAAAAGAATGCACATTACCACTAGGGGGGAGAGGGGGGAGGGAGAAAGAGAAAGAGAGAGAGTGAGTGTGTGAAAGTGTAATGGTTACGACTGATGGGTGAATAAAATATCGGCAGAGTTTCTTCTGGTTTATTTTAGGCTAAAAGCTGTGGGAGCTTGAGGTAATGCTGGGATCACCGTGACTTCAGCTTTAAGTTTTCGTCGTTTTTATAGGATACTGGATGAAATCTTACTAAACATAAGACAATGGAAAATATTCTTCAGGTTCTATGTATAGCATGGCTTTCTTTGAGTTCCTATGATCATATAGTTGGACGAGGACATCGGATATGTTCGTACAACCAAATAGCTTCGTGATAAGAGAGTATGCCGTTGGAAATACGTGGACATATTGATAACTAGAGTATCGACAATAATAATGACTACAAAAACAGTGACAGACAGTGCAATTTCTGATGAACATTTTGAGTATATGCAAGTTAGGAGTTTACATAGAGTTACAAAGTAATCGGCGAGGGTGACAGTAAGAGTCGGCATTGCTTGCTCTGGAGGGATTTCATCAGTATCTTGTTAAGGGCGCAGGACACGTTCAGTAAACTGTGGGAGGCTTAGGGTGATGAAGGGTGAGGTCATGAAACCGCTCAGCCACCTAACCAGGATCGTCCTCCATCCGGCTGGAGTGGTGAAGCTGAAGAGGAAGTCTCGATGACGATGATACAGGGAGTCTCGATCCCGGCGTGGCGCGAAGTTGAGAGATAACTTGTAGGCAGGCAATGTGTGGGACGGGTGCGGCGTGATCCACAACTGAACGGGAATTGATCATCCCTGGGCTGAAGGTGTCTGTGGAAGGCGAGGGCGCCGTTGGTGATATGCTTCCGTCGGGCAGAAGCATATCGCCGACGCAGGTACTCACGGGCGAAGCGATAGGCTTCTTGCTTCCTTGCGATCACAGTCTTCGCGTAATCATCTCCGTAGACGGGAGAAGGGCGTTGCAGAAGTTTGTAGGAGAGACGCTGATCGTCACTATAAATGACGTAGTTGGGGATGTCATCGAGGGAAGGGTGAAAGATGTTGATGGCAGCCTGAGTGACGGGAATCCATAGGTCCGACTCGTTGTCTTGTGCGTTGATGGAAGTTCTGAGAGCGTTTAGGATCGTTCTGTTGAGTCTTTCGACGAGGCCCTTTGCCTGAGGTCTGTATGGAAGTATATGAACAAGGCCGAGTTTGTATAGGCCGTTGAGTACTCGATTGGTGAATTCAGCACCGTTGCCACACATGAGTTGCTCAAGGGCACCATGGCGACAGATGACGTGAGAGAGGAAGGCAGGGATATAGAAAGGGATATAGCTCAGTATAGCGACTGAAACTGTCAATCATGACGAACAGGTAGTGATTTCGGTTCTCTGTGGGAGTGAAACCGGAAAGACTGTCTATACTCACTCTGACGAAGGGTCGTTCTGGTATGTCGTATGTGTGTGCAGGCGCTGGGGCGACGGTGTGTCCCTTGTAGAGGGGGCGGATCCGGCAGCTTTTGGCGTGTTTGATAACTCGTGGACGAAGTCTGGAACAGTAGCAAGAGCGAGCCAGCTTCAAGGTTTTGAAAATACTTTGATGTCCCGAAGTATGAGAATCGTGGAGTAGCTTCAGCACTGTAGGATCAAGGGCTTCGGGGATGACCAGTTGATGGTACGTACGACGTGGGAGCTGATTTCCGGAAGATCAGGCCGTCACGGAGATAGAATTCTTCGATGGGGAGGTTTCGATTCGCCGGTGAAGGCTTCGTGTTATCCTCGAGGTGAGCGATGATGTCAGCATACAGTGGATCGTCAAGTTGCTTCGCCTGGAGTTCCAAGGGGCTGAGGACAGAAAGGCGACTGACTGAGACATTACGTCCGCTACCTTATTAGATGAGCCAGGCGTGTAGTTAGTCTTGGAGTTAAACTCCAGAAGTGTGTCCACCCATCGGCTTGACGACCTTTGACATGTCTTGAATCTGTGAGGATATACTTAAGTGGGCGATGATTGGTTACAACGTGAATATCGTAATCTAAAATGATTTCTCTGAAGTGTTTGGGGGCCCAAACGACGGCGAGGGTCTCGAAGTCGGTGACGGAGTAATCTCTGTAGACTTGATTCTATTTTCGACTGTCGAAGGCGATGGGTTTGTAGCGTCCATCGTGGCGTTGCATAAGGGCGGCTCCTAACCCTATAGATGAAGCATCTGTGGCGAGATAGAAAGTCCCATTAAAGTCGGGGAATGAAAGAATTGGAACTTCGGTGAGGCATTGCTTGAGAGTTTCGAATGTTTGCTGCTGTTCACTGGACCAGGTGAACGGAGTGTTTTTCCTCAGGAGACAGGTTAGAGGTTTGGCGATGGTACCGAACTTCTCGATGAAGGAGCGGTAAAATCCTGCTAGACCAAGGAAAGATTTTACCTAAGTGACTGATGAAGGCACCGGGGAAATTCTGTACATACCGTGTTTTTTTGTCGTTGAGGCGTAGCCCGGCTGGGTCGACAGTGTGGCCCAGACACTCAGTGTTTGCGAAAGAACTGGCTTTTCTTGATATTTATTGTCAAGTCCGCGTCGGCAAGGCGCTGGAAGACTAACTTCAATTTATATTCTTGGTCTGCAATGTCCTTGGAGGCGATAAGTAAGTCATCTAAGTAGAGGAAGGCTACATCACCAATCAAGCCTTGTATAATCTGTGACATCAAATCTCGAGAAGGTAATTACCGAATTCCTAAGACCAAAGGACATTCTAGTGGAAGCAAAATGTCCATGTGGAGTGGAAAAGGCGGTGGGGTCCTTTGATGATGGATCTATCTCAGCTTGAAGAATCCATGTGCTAAGTCTATCGATGAAAAGATAGCATGTCCCTCGCCTACTTCTTGGAGAAGTGTGTGTATCAACGGCATGGGTAGCGGTCAGGAATGGTGGCTGCGTTCAAGTGGCGGTATTCGATGACGAGGTGCAGAGATCCATCCTTCTTGGGTACGAGAGGCATCGGAGCTGATCACGGTGGTTGAGAAGGTTCGATGATGTCCTGGGCGAGTAAGGCGTCGGTAGCCTCTTTGAAGGCAGCTCGGCGGCTGTGGAGGTATGTAAATAAGCTTGGCTCCTGGAATGTCGAAGTACATCAGTGTGTCCCAAGGGGCGGTCCTTGGTTGGTAATGAGGGGAACTCCTTCAGAAGTAGTCGAAGAACATCCTCTCCTTCTGCAAAGTATATAGGCGGGAACTCGCCGGATGCGTCAGGGGCGTTCGTAGTAGCTGACGTGTTGCAAACAGGTGTGATAGGGGGCTTTACTTCAACGACAGAGAGGTCGGTGACCTCACAGTCGCACACTCGTGTCCCACGACGCAGGCGATCAGGAGTGCAACCCACAATGCAAAAACTAGATTTTTTCTGAAAATCCACCAGGATTCTATCTTCAGACCTAAAGATGCAATCTAGGTGGATTTCAAAACTGGTCTCATTTTTCAAAAAATCTAGTTTTTAAATTGTGGGTTTTTCCACCACAGTATCAACACGGAACAGTGTTTTACCATTCATATATGTACATATATATGTATATATAATTGTATTATATATATATATAATTACACATAAACACGGATAAGTATATATATATAATGTTTATATACATGTCATATATATATATATATATATATATATATATATATATATATATATATATATATATATATATATATATGCACATATATAAATTTACATATATGTCTACACACACACACATATATAAATGTTTATACATATATATGTGTGTGTGTGTGTGTGTGTGTGTGTGTGTGTGTATATATATATATATATATATATATATATATATATATATATATATATATATATATATATATTATATGCACATATATCATTTATATAAATGTGTGTGTATATGTATATATATATATATATATATATATATATAAATGTGTGTATATATATATATATATATATATATATATATATATATATATATATATATATATATATATATATATATATATATATATATTATATGCACATATATCATTTATATAAATGTGTGTGTATATATATATATATATATATATATATATATATATATATATATATATATGTACTATATATATATATATACTATATATATATATATATATATATCTATATATATATATATTATATGCACATATATCATTTATATAAATGTGTGTGTATATATATATATATTATATGCACATATATCATTTATATAAATGTGTGTGTATATATATATATATTATATGCACATATATCATTTATATAAATGTGTGTGTATATATATATATATACTATATATATATATATATATAGATATATATATATATAGTATATATATATATATAATATATATATATATATAATATATATATATAT